GAGGGCGTGTTAGCATTTCCACTGTAGCGCATTCTGAGTGTGTGTGTCTGTGTGTGTGTGTGTTTCGGTGCGTTTGTGTTACTCTATTTTGTCGTCAGACTGAGGGCCTGTTAGTATTTCCACTGTAGCGCATTCTGAGTGTGTGTGTGTCTGTTTTTTTGTGCGTTTGTGTTACTCTACTTTGTCGTCAGACTGAGGGCGTGTTAGCATTTCCACTGTAGCGCATTCTGAGTGTGTGTGTGTGTGTGTGTGTGTTTCAGTGCATTTGTGTTACTCTATTTTGTCGTCAGACTGAGGGCGTGTTAGTATTTCCACTGTAGCGCATTCTGAGTGTGTGTGTGTGTGTTTTGGTGCGTTTGTGTTACTCTATTTTGTCGTCAGACTGAGGGCGTGTTAGCATTTCCACTGTAGCGCATTCTGAGTGTGTGTTTGTGTGTGTGTGTGTATTTCGGTGCGTTTGTGTTACTCTATTTTGTCGTCAGACTGAGGGCGTGTTAGTATTTCCGCTGTAGCACATTCTGAGTGTGTGTGTGTGTGTGTGTGTGTGTGTGTTTGGGGGTACTCACACTGGGTGCTGGGGTCCGTGTCGGTGGTCAGTTTGACGTAGTTGCTAGGAAACAGGCCCTCGCGCCCGTTGAGCTCCCCCTTCCACCAATCACAGTCGTCCTTGTTGAGCACCGTGATGACCTGCCCCTTCAGGAAGGCCAGCTCGTCGTCGTTCTGAGCCACGTAGTCGTACATGCCGATCACCTGACACACGGCTTCCCCAAGACCAGAAACAAAACAAAAACAAAAAACATTTTGACCTCAGGTTTACGATACGCTAAAACCTGGCTAACCTGGCTAAAAAAAAAGATCATTAACGTGACGTTAGCCTTGAATTAGTTGTGGCTAATGGCTAATAAAAACACGCCAACATTAATCAAGTCCTGCAGGAAGCCAAGGATGGATATCCGACTCCCCCACGTCCAAGTCGGCCATTTTGATTAGGGCACCAATAGCAAGATCCCAGGCAAGAAAATCCTAATTGCTTCATGGCAATATAGACATTCATTTTAAAATAGGGAAATGAATCTTGCAAACACTGAATTAAACTCTATCCATAATATTATGTTAAAATAGTGGATGTTAAATAGGTTTGTACAATAAGTCCAAACAAGTTTAA